CCGCTTGTCCTCAACTTCTTCTCTGGAGGCGCAGCTGGGCCACCCATAGTGAGGGAGCTCTCCATCAAGGCTGCCTTTCTGGTGGCTGGTTACATTGGCAAAAAGAGTCTCCGAAATTGGGAATTTTGGCTGTAAAAAGCCGTTTTGACATTCTTCCCGGATCGAGAAATCCTCATCTCTATGCTAGGTTCTAATCCTAAAGTGACCTCGGTCTTCCACGAGAACCAAGAGATTGTCCTTCCAACATTTAGAGCCTCGGGAGTCAATGATTCTCACCCCCTGGACGTAGGTGAGACCTTAAGGCTATACTTGCGGGTCACAGCATCCTTTCATAGGCAAGACAGTCTAGTCATCCTTTTCCATGGGAACTGGCCGTCCCCCAGGTCAATCACAGCCTGGATTGTCCAGGCCATCCAAATGGCTTACAGAGCTAAGGGCTTGGTGCCTCCGGAGGCGGTGACTGCACACTCAACCAGAAGTGTGGCTACATCCTGGGTGGCTTCTGGGCATGTCACCCCTGAGATGATCTACAGAGCAGCCTCATGGTCCTTGTGATGGAATGCTGCGCCCGACCCCTGCCCTTCTCACCAACTCGTGACTGAAGAACCAGCTGATCTCACACCGTGCTGTCACTTGCGTAACAATGCCACTCTCAGCTGCACCCTGCACAAAGATTTTCGAGCTCACGGGACCACAATCTATGTGCCAGTAGCCTGAGAGCGATAGTTACTGGGTTAGGTTAATTACTCAATTAACCCTTCACACTGCCATAACCACCACCTTTTTTTACAGAGAAGGAGGAAACTCACAAATCCCAGCAATCACATTATGATTATAGGAGAAGCATCTGTAACACACACTATCACCACAGACATGTTCAGAGGATTATTACATATAGTAGCACTCTTCAAGAGACAGGGATTCTTTAGTTTGCAATAAAAGCTTTAGAGACAGTTTCAACACTTTTCAAAATAGGGTTTATTACTAAAAAGGTCAAAATGGTGCAATTAAAATATTTACAGAACAAGATGTTACAAAGACATAAAGAGAACAATAAAGCAACAGTGAAATAAAAGAAAGGAGTTAAGAAGGCAGAATACTTGCTATGTCCTTGGTTTAAGTAGAGTCCAATTGTCTGAGCAAAAAGATTGCCTTTGTTCTCAAGTCTGTTAGATGATTCTTGATTGATGTTAAATGAGAGCTCTCTTCTCCAGGCCTGTCAGTCTTTTCTATGATATTAGAGGGGTGTTGCCTGAGAACAAATGACCAATCATCCAGTTTGGGGATGGATGCTAGTTGGCCCCCAAGTTAATGACCAAGCCCCAACTGCAGTTTCATATTAATATTAATAACTTCCAGTATGTGCAGGGGTATTCTAGCAACTGGCAGATTAATATTCAGAATTATATTTCAAACCCAGGATACCAAACACTGCGCACCCTTGTCACCCAGGAGGAAAGAGACTGTTTTCTTCTCTCTCCTAGGTGCTAATATAGTATTGTATGGCCTTGTTTGATTCGCATTAAAATGATCTATCCAAATATATACCTAATATTAATGTGCCCAGTTCCTACTGGACTTTATGAATTGTATGTGAAATGGTTACATTTGGAATGGACGTTTAAAGACATGCTCTGCATCCTAGAGCCCTAATGGCCTAACAGGTCATGGCTGACAGAGTTATTGTTTTACGATAGGGCAGAGGAAAGTGGTTTTCAAAGCAGACCTCCTGCACCAGACTAATTAGCAGTTTACATCTCTGGAGCTTCATCTATCTGTGTTTTATTTAAGATAAGAGGCCCTTTGAAGTCTGTTCAACTTACAGCTACAAATTCCATTTCAAGAGGGAGGGGGGAAGGAAAGGAGAGACAAAATGTCTGAGGCCTAAAAAGATGGCTGTCACGTACAGCGTCCATGGCTCTATTGCGCACAATCGTCACAGTCCTCAGTCAACACTTTTATGGCTCATTACTGTATAGAACCTGCCTCATTATCCTCTTTTAATTTTAGTTTGAAAGTTCTGTCGGTTGACAGAGCAAATTAAAGTCTTTGTTTGAGTAACTGCCCACCCTAATGTGTATGGCTAATTATTTCCCATACGTATGCTGACATGGAGTCTGTCAGGAAAACGGAAAATTTCCTATCAAATACTTACCATAATTTTCCTTTCCTTGTATACTAAAATATAGTATCTTCAATCAGGTAAGTTTCATGTTAGTAATAGACTAGTAAATACATTTTTTACTTTGTATAAAGTTGCTGCTGTAATTTCTTATAGAAAAATTTGGTGGTATTTCATGAATAGCATCAAGGTGTTTGGGGTCCTGCACATGATGATACTCTTGTAGTTCCACAATTTGTATATGTGATTAAGATGATAATTTACCTACAATTTCATGTAACATATTCTGTTGGGCCCATAATGGAGGCTTTCAGGTTGTGAAAACTTATTTTTATCTGATATAATCACAAATATTTAATAATATATGAACAAGTAATACCTACAAGGTTTGTTTTGAGACTACTTTTGTAACATGCCAGCAGATGGCACCACAAGGCTGCACATACAGACACAGGGAGCCTTCATAAGTCAGTGTGCCAAAATACATCATCCTGTGTACATTGGGAGCTGTGCAACTGGTGCTATTCTGACCATGTGCATTACCATGTCTGCTATTTCATCATGGACAGCAAGTTAGAACAAAGATCAAATGTGAAATTCTGCATGAAACTGGGCAAATCTGCCACAGAGATGTTTGACATGATTCAGCAAGTTTACTGTGATGCTTCAATGAGTCGTTCAAGGTGTTTTGAGTGGCACGTGCATTTCAAGAGCTGAAGTACATCACTGGAAGACAACGAGAGATCAGGAAGACCTTCAACGAGCTCAACCCCCAAAAATGTTGAAACCATTCAGCAACTTGTGCATGACGATCGTCAAAGAACAATCCACAACATTGCTACCATTGTCGTTGTGTCATACTATCCACACGTGTGATTTGAACATCAGGAAAGGAAAATTACAGTAAGTATTTGATAGGAAATATTCCGTTTTTTTCCCAGCAGTAATACTCCTGAATTGAGCAGAGGAAGTAGCATCTATCAAATCTAAAAGCTATAGGAAAGTTTACTTTAAAAAAAAAAAATTCTAAAGCTGTCAACTTACAAATTGTATTAGTTCATCTTTTTTATCACAGTACCACACTGCATTGTGATATAACACCAAAACAAATGCACTTCAAAACTACAACCTTACTTTCCCCAGCTTTACTCTCATCCCCATATTCCCCAAAGGAAGGGGGTTAGGTTATGGCTAGGTGGAATGACAAGCAGCAGCAAAAATTACAGGGGGAATCCAATGCCCATAATTTCCCACCCTTTCCCAATCAGGATCATAAAAAAAAAAGACAGCAAAGTACAAAATGAAAGGTAGAGATGCTACAATATGAAGGTAGTAGGTAGTGAACCTTTCTAATGTTACCTCGTCCTCTTTTCCCTCTGTTCCCTAGTTATCCTTCCAATCTGCCTTCACCTCCTTTTGCTGCAGGAAGCAGCAAAATGTGAGCGTTCAATCTCCTGGCCATAAGCTGCCCATAATTTCCCAGAATGAAGCCTTGAAATTCAAAGCAGCATTTGCCAACCTCTACTCCTACAACTAGTAACAACCTTCCCATGCCAGGTTTTTGCTGAAATGAAAGAAAAAATGTGCCTGAATCCCCCATATGCTCAGCACTTCCAGACTGGCATTTCAACTGCTTCCATACCAGTTAGTGAAAACAGACAGCTTCCTTCCACTAGTTCATGGCCTGGGCATGTCCCACATTAGCATTGCCCCACCTGCTATTACTATATTTTATTACTATTACCTGCTATTACTATTTTTTTATGTATAAATTTGTTTAACATTATTTACTGTTTTACCCACATTAACTAAGAAAAGACCAGGGGACATGGGTTGAGAGTGTGTGGTGTTTTGGGTGCAGTGTTTTTATTTATTTATTTCCCAAAGGATGCAGTGCAAATAATGGCTGCTCGCAAATGGACTGTCAGCAACAACTGCTCTACTCACTCCAAACTAAAAGTAATGTAATCTAAAAATCTATAATCTAAAAAAAAAGTTAAAGACTAGCTAAAGCGTTGACATCTGAAGAGTTACGTAGCTATCAATCAGATATTGTGGACAGATTTGGGCCCTTAAAATAGATTTTGGGTGTACAGATCTGTGGGCAGAGCACATAAGAAAAATATACCCCAGCTTTCTATTTCAAAGAACCCAAGCACAGTTTGTTAAAGTAGATGTAAGCCCACACACTAAAATCTAATGTTTAACATTTTAACATGATAATATCACTTGGAAATCATATCACTACTTTCAGTTTATTTGCTTTCATGCTTGAGGTGATTGTAGCCGTATTAGTGCATTTGCGACAGAAACAATTGAGTACTGTCCGTGATACTTTTTTTATTTGCACTAACATACAATTTTGAGGACAAGCTTTCGGGGAATGTCCCCTTCTTCAAGGTCTAAGCAGTACTACTCACAAAGTTTTAGCAGAATGTTAGAAGAGATGTGGGGGATGAAAAAAAAAAAAGAGACTAGAGATAATACACAGCAAAAGCAAAGACTGGGGGGGGGGGAGACAGCACTAACAGAGGGAGTCATGCTTGAGGTTAAGGCCGTTATCTCTTGTGTCAAATAGAATTATCATTCTTAGTTCAAAAGATTTTCTTTCCTGAATGGATTTGAAATTTCCTTTAAGAACTAAAATATTGAGGTCTTCCATTGTGTGGTTTGGTTGTGAGAAATGGTGTCTCACGGGTGTGCATAAGTAATCTTCTTTATGTTCCTTGATGGTATGTCTGTGCAAATTCATCCTTGTTTGCTTTCATGAAAATACTGTAACAGCTGGTGATACTAATAGAAAGGTCCTTGTTTGGGCATTCTGTTATTGAGTTATGTTATGGGGTGTCCCTGTCTCCCAGGGGCGGACTGACAACTCATGGGGCCCCGGGCAATAGGGGATCATGGAACCCCTGTGTCCTTGCCCAAACTCAAAAAAGCCTATGAAAAAGGTACCAGGGGCATCTCATGGGGCCCCCTACTGACCCCGGGCCCTCGGGCAGTGCCTGAGTTTCCAAATGGTCAGTCCGCCCCTGCTGTCTCCCACAATCTATTGCCTGTAAATTACTCTGTGCTGGCTTATCAAAAATCCCCCTTAGCAACGCTTCTACTTTGGTAAATTCCCACATTGGTTTGCTGGTTATGCAAATTCAAACATGCAGGGCTGATTGCAATCTAATTGTACCAGAGAACCTAAACATCATCCCTACAAAGCAGGAACAAAGCACAATGCCTGTTGTTATCAGTTAAAGAATATGTAAACCCAACATTTCATATTCCTGACAGGTGTCCCTTGTACCACGTACTTGTTTAAAAAAGTATCCTCTTCTCTTTGTATTGCTTCCTTTGTGTGAAATCCCTAGTGTTCCTGCCAGTCCCTCTGCTTTCCTATTAAAAACTGACCACACCATGAGTACACCATGGTCAGTTCTCTAGCTATGCTGGGAACTCAGCGTGCTCTCCTCCAATAATCAGACTTGTCCTTACACACTCCCACTGCACAGCCTTTCACTGGGAAGATCAGTGTACTGCTGTGTCTCCTCCCACAGCTCTAATGCAGCTGAGAACATAGAGTATGTGATCACTTATAAAAAAAGGAAAAGAAGTATTTATAATGTTATTATATCCATAAATATATCTATGCCTTTCATTTCTATTTTAAATTGAATGGGCTGTTTGACAAAGTGAGGGTTTACATACACTTTAAGTAAAATCTCTTTTAAAACATGATCTCCTATACTTCCTGGTTATATCTTTTCTTGGATCCTGTCTTCTGCCTGTTCTGGTCCTCTGCCTGGTCCTTGACTATATCTGTAAGCAGCCTGTTCCATCTGCTTAACCCCTTCACGCCGTCCCTTTAACAGTTTCAGAAGCGGGAGGCGGGACAGGCGGTCACATGATCGGGAAAGGTCCCGATCGAAAGAGGAGAACCGTGAGTACCGGACATGTGTGCTGGGAGCACACAGGGCGCGCGCTCTCAGCACATATGGTTTTTTATAAATAGAATGCAAATGTGCTGCCGCTCAGCGTCTAGGCCCAGACGCCGGGAGGCTGCACATTTGTGTGCGGCCGGCGTGAAGAGGTTAACTTTGTTTCATCGTATTTTTGGATTGAATTCAGTATTTATCCTGACCTCCTGCCTAAAAGCATCAGTTTGCAGCTGTGGGCAAACATGGAAGCTGCAACCCAGGAGCCACTGTCCATTCATTTTCAACCCTGTTGTAGGCAAGTGCAGTCTGCTATCTTCTCTGTAGGTAGCCTTCGATGCAAGTGGTACCACAGCCTGGAAAGGAAGTCAGGAGAAACCTGATTTTTCTATGGTTTCCTGGACCGTGAAGGCAGCATTCCAGCTGACCTCTGGTGGCCATCTTGGGTCAACAGAGGCTTTATCACTCCCTGCCCCCAGGTTTTTGCTCGCTTTCATGTAGTGGTTAGAGTAAGGAAAGAACACCCATCTGTGAGAGAAAGTATTAGCGGCAGAGAAAGGTTCCTGATGAGTAAAGACAGGCTAGGGACTTCAATCCTGCTATGGAAGCTTCCCCTTTGGGACAGGACTTGCCAGGCCGCTTTCCACCCTCTGAAGACAGATGCTGTCATCTTAATTCGCTGTATCTCTGCATTGAACAGAACTGTGAGTTTTACCTAAAGCGATGTACGCCTGCTGGGATTGTATATAGTTGAAAACATTTTGCAATACAAGTTTTGAGTTATCTGCAACTGGACTCTGTGTTATTACTTCCCACACCATGCTACACCTACCCACACTCTTTACAGAGATAGGAGTGATGGAAGGCTTGGACCAGTGTTTATCAACTTACAATGGTACAGAGGGCCTCAACTGTGGCCCTTGACATCATCAAAGGGCCACACATAATGTTTATTATATGATATGGCAGAAATTGCAGACATACTGAAATGAGGCAAGAGGCTGTGGACATGCTTCAGGTATGGTTGGAGACTTGCTAAAGAAGACTCACTGCTATTACCCCTTTAGAAAACAATGTCACCACTCCCAGTACAAAGTGCTGGGGTCCAAAGGCTGCACAACAAGTACCAAAGAGCTATACGGGGAACTTGAGCTGCACATTTAGAACCAAGAGCGTGTTTGCCTCAATGTGAACTCATACCTCCCACCTCCCACAGCACTTACCATTATCACGGACAGTGGGCCTTATAGTCTTCTCTGAGAGTGGGGATCATGGAGGCAGACATATGGCAGCTGCTCAAAGCAATTAATAACTAGCAGTAGCAAGGTGCTTACAGGTGGGGCTATTCTCCAAACATTACATAAAAAAAAAAAAAAGCAACACTCAGTCCAGATAACCAGAACAGAAAACTTATTTTTTTAACTTTTCCTAACATTTAGGTTAAAATTAGATTTAGAAGCCACACTACTCTGCAAACCCACCTTAGTGGTCACTAAATCTAATTTAGATGTACATACAAGCTGTGACATTATATTGTGTATATATATATATATATATATATATATATTAATTAACAAAAAGTGAATTAGAAACAAGACTGAGTTGGTTTCGTGTCTTACTTTTTATGTTTCAGTGACAAACAGCATATTGTTAGGTATTTTGGGTTGCTGGATTGCGTGCTGGGGAATTTTTTTTGTATTGTTAAGAACAGAGCCATTGGACAAGCGTTCATTGTAAAGGTATACCAGGCAATTAAAAAGGAGAGAACTTTTAGAATTGATCTCCAGAGGATATTGCGGCAGCTATGTAGCTTGCAACAATCTTCTCTCTTTAGGCTCTAGGACATCCAAACATGTTTTTTCTAGTTGGTGGAGGTTAAAGTTAATTCATAGGCAGATGCATTACTGTTTTCTTTGATCCCAGTGTCCAAATGAAATAGGAGAAGTCCTCTCACTTAGTTCTTTCTCTTATTTTTTATTGCAAAGAACAAATGAAATCTGAGGAGACCCTTCATAATACTTGAGCGGAGGATATTCTCTCAAAATAAGCAAAAAGGTGAAATGAACTCCTGTGAAGTCTCTTCTAAGCCTTTTTACTTACTGGCTGAACAAATCTATTTCAGATTACTAGCCATGAAACTGCAGGAACTGTAAGAGATCAATGGATAAGAAACTTATTTTGAATGCATCAAGAATTATCCAGAAAATTGTATTGAACGTATTACATTCTCTTTAAAAATTGTATTTATTTTATCATTCCCTCAGTACTTTGCATGACACAGTGCAGTGCACATACTATATCTTTAATATTCTGTACTGACCAGGCAAAGTATCATGCAGTATATTCATGCAGTATATCATGTAGCAGAACAACCACTCTGACACTCTGGTCTAGTCCGGTAGGCAGGAACAGAACCAGAAACAGGGGGAATCTTGCTGCTAGAATCTTTAAGAGATATAAGAGGTAAGTGTGTGATTAATCCCACCAGATCGAACAATTGAAATATCATTTCTGGGTGGACTGACCCTTTAAGAAAGCAATTCTAAATACAGTTTTTCTAACAGACTTCCAGAAAGTGGCTCTTAATAGAGCTTTGTTTCAGGATTGACGTCTCATTCTCCAGCAGTGGAAAATGGACAGGACTCCAACTTATAAAGAATGGATAGCATACATGGGAGACACCCTTAGGCTGGAAAAAAAAATTTTTCAATATAGGGGATGTCCGAATAAATTTAACAAACTATGGGAGGATTTGCTTGAAGTCTTACAACTACCGACTCAGTACTTGACAGGCTTTTGAATTGAGCTTGATACTCCCCTAATGGGGGAAAGGATAAGAACAGATCAGACCCCGCTTTTAAAGTTATTATATGGTTGGTCTCATGATGCTTGCCCTTGGTATTTGATACTTGTCTCTAGCTTGGTTCAATTTATGTCTGATTATACTGTTGAAAGCGTGAACTGTCTTCTGGATATACTGTGACTATAGAGCTGTATCTGCACTTTGGATCATTATCTTTTTTATTTGTAAAGGTTGTACATGTTTGGTTTATTGGCTGTACCTCAATAACCGCAATAAACTTTATTTCTGATTAAAAAAAGAAAAACAAGACAGTTGTCCTGATACTTGAGGCCCCAGCTCCATACAAATGGCAAAAGTCATTCAGAAAATACTATGATATTTACAACTTCTGACACTTCTTCACTGCTATTCGTGTCACGTTACACATACAGAAAATGGCACTAAGGATACAAACTGTTGACAAACTATACTTGCATGTAAAAGTGTACCTAAAGCCAAAACAACCCCTATAGTAGGGGAAATTCCCATTGTAAACAGTCGCCAGAACCGTTGTCTCCATTGGATGATTTTCCCTCTTGCTCACATAACTACTCTAAAATCTAGAAATTCCACTTATTTTATGCTTTAAAGACAACCGTCACCAGAACAAGTAGGGTGAATTATTCTAGAGGGAACACAGATTATAAAAACTTGGTAGAGCGTTGGCAAAATTGCATAAGAGAAATCCAGCCATCTGAACGTTCTTGGGTTAGTCAGGTATGGTGAAGGTGTGGTTTTTGAAGAGGCTATATTTACAGAATGTATATGTACTGTACGTAGGTGTGTGTGTGGTCACTGTGAGTGTGTATATGTGTGTTGTTGAGAAGTGGTAGAATAAATCACAGGGGTGCTGTGCATTTACTCCTGACCTCTGCAATATGTACGTTACATAGTCCTGACTCTGTTCACTGGGCTGTATGTTACTTTTACTCCTGACTCCTGCAGTTTGCATGTTACCCATTCTTGGCCTCTGCACTTTGTACAGCACACATTTCTGTTCCCTGAACTCTGTATGGTACACATGCCTGACCCCTGAACTCTGTACATTACACAACACTGACCCCTGCATCTGTACCTTACACAACACTGACCCCTGCATCTGTACCTTACACAACACTGACCCCTGCATCTGTACCTTACACAACACTGACCCCTGCATCTGTACCTTACACAACACTGACCCCTGCACTCTGTACATTACACAACACTGACCCCTGCATCTGTACCTTACACAACACTGACCCCCGCACTCTGTACATTACACAACACTGACCCCTGCACTCTGTACCT